TGTGTGTGTGTGTGTGTGTGTGTGTGTGTGTGTGTGTGTGAGAGAGAGAGAGAGAGAGAGAGAGAGCCGGCGCGTTGCACGGCCTGACACGTGCAACGCGCCGACTCCCTCCCTCTCTCTCTCTCTCTCTCTCTCACGGGGGCCAAGTCCCACTACCATCTTCCCCCGAACATAACGCACCCAAAAAATGAATGTATGAGGGTGCGTTGTGTTCGTTGCTCAACGCCTGAATCTCGACGTGTTCATGGAGATGTGCATTTCAGGAAACTCAACACCATTTCTGCTCATCACCGCAAAAACGTCCAGATTCAGGCGTTGAGGTAGCTCAACACTGCTAGTGGGAAGAGAGAGAGAGAGAGAGAGAGAGAGAGAGAGAGAGAGAGAGAGAGAGGGAGAGAGAGAGAGAGAAGGCAGGTAATTGGAGGGCTTAGGTATCTGAAGCTCAGAATTTACGGGCAGGGCGCAACGGGCCTTAGGGGGACTTGGAGGGCGGGAGGCGCAGTGCGCTCAAGGGAGGGACCGTGAGTGACTGGAGTTGGACAACATCGGCGTGTAGCAGGTCGGCATTGCGGCATCGACAGAAGCACGGCGCCTTGGACGCGAAACGCCCTTGCGACATCCTGGACGCCTTAACGATCGACACCAGGGCTGGTCAGTATAAGTAAATTCTGTAATCTCGTGGTTGCCATCTTGTCTTCTTCTTCTCCTCCTCCTCCTCCTCCTCCTCCTCCTTCTTCTTCTTCTTCTTCTTCTTCTTCTTCTTCTTCTTCTTCTTGCTCCTCGTCGCCCTCTGTGGCGATCATAGTCATCATCATGAGCGTCAGCGCCATCGTTGATCGTGGAAATCATCATCTTCCACGACGATGATGAAGACGATGTGGACGATCACGATCATCGCATCGTCGACGACCATCATGATGGATCATCCTAATGATGATCATGATCAGCATCCTCGTCGTTAAAGTCCACATCGTCTTCATCATCGTCATCGTCATCATAATCATAATCAGCATCATCATCATCATCAACAACAAACTTCTTCTTAGCATCTGCAGCAGGGGCTCATTTCTGCCACTTCACGTGCCAATCTCGGTCGTGCTGCTTTTGCGCCACCATCAGATCGCACATATGCACGTGATTTCGTGTGTACAGAAGCAGCTGCTACCGCCGGCCCCCGTCACGGCCGCTTCATTGCCCGTCGCTGCTTCTGCTTCTCCTCCTCCTCCTCCTCCGGCTGCCTCTCATTCCCGTTCTTCCGATGCTGCTGCCTCGTGGTTGAGATGCACGTGCTGCGGGTGCACCCGCTCCTCATACCACCGATATAAAACCAGTGCACTGTATCCCCGTGCTTCAACATCCCCTCCTGCTTCTTCGTCTTCTTCTTTCCACTGAGAGCTGTGCATGCGGAGGTGTAATTTACTGGCAGCTGTCGAAGCATGTGCGACAAGCAGTCTATGGCCTGAGTTTTGTCATTGTTCCTCTTCTTCCTTTGCTCCGCCTGATCCTTTTTCTCTCTTCCCTCTTCTCTCCTCCTCCCCCTTCTTTTTCCTCCTTCCTCCTCCTTTCTTTTTGTCTCCCTGTTCTGGTCTCCTGTTCTTGGTGGCATTGTGTTAGCTACGATCGTGGGCCCAAGCTTGCCAGCGCACCCCTTCGTCTAGCTGCTGTAGCTAAGCTTGTGCTAGTGCATCATGCTCTCACATTGGTCTCCGGATTGACGAGAGATGAGCCGGGGGATCTTGGGGGTGTTTATCATCTTGTACCTTGCTGGTAGCTCACACGCTTGATCATCGGACGATCATCACTGATCCCTTCAACACTCGATGAATAGTACGAGCTAAAGGAGTCGTGAGCTGGTGAAGAGGTTTAGATAGAGGGGCGGCAGGCATTGATTCTAGACCTTACACTCGCACCTCCGTTGCATATTCTTTCCCCAACATCATTCTTTGAGGCGACGGTATGATGCACATCCGTCCTAGGACTTCTATCTTCACTCTCGGGTTCAGTAGGGGTCATAGGTCCCCGTGCATGTCCTGCCGGAGGTGGGTTTAGCAGGGGTCACAGGTCACAGGTCATCGTGCACGTCGTGCTGAAGGTGCAGTCCCTCGTGCTTATGTTTGGTGGTCGGTGATCGCAGCCTAAGCGGCTCCTGCTGCTGCCCCCCTTTACTGTTACAGTAGCTACCACTGCTGATGATGGTTTGGTCGTGTACTGATGCCGCAGCTGCTGGTAGCAATGCTGCCTGCTACTTGCTGCTGCCCCTGATATTGATGATTCGCGCTTGCTTCTCCTGCAGCTGCTCCTGCTGATGTTGCTGCTGCAAATGCCTGGTTCTGCCTCCCGGCTCCTGCTAATGCTTTCTCCTATCTGGTACTTGGCTGCAGCTGCTTCTGCTGCCGATCCGGCTGCTGCTGCTGCTGGCGCTGCTAATGACTGCTGGTACCTGGTGGTAGCGGTGGTGCTGCTGCTGCTGCTGGCGCGGCTGCTACCACTGCTGCTTGCTGCTATCCTGCTTCTGGTCCCGCTGCTGCTACCTGTTGCTGCTTGCTGCTTGATGCTCCAGGACCAGCATCTGCTGCTAATGTTCGCTGCTGCTGCTGCTGTGGGTCCTGGTACTTGCTGCAGCAGTTTCTGCTGCTGATCCGGCTGCTGCTGCTGCTGGCGCTGCTAATGACTGCAGGTACCTGGTGGTAGCGGTGGTGCTGCTGCTGCTACTGGTTCTGCTACTGGTGCTGCTACGGGTGCTGGTACTGCTGCTGGCGCCGCTGCTACCACTGCTGCTTGCTGCCGCAGATCCTGCTCCTGGTCCCGCTGCTGCTACCTGTTGCTGCTTCCTGCTACCGCTGCAGCTTGCGTGCTTGATGCTCCAGGACCAGCATCTGCTGCTAATGGTCGCTGCTGCTGCTGCTGTGGGTACTGGTACCCTGTATGCAGCTGCTGTGGGTACTGGTACCCTGTATGCAGCTGCTGCTGCTCTAACCTGCTTCTGGTACTGCTTATGTCACTGCTGTTTCAGATCCTGCTGCATTGGTTCTCGCTCTTTTTCGGCTTTGCTCATCCGTGTGTTCATTTTTTGGGCTGTTTGGCCATGATGCAGCATTCATGTCAATGTAAGAACTGTGTTCTCTTTCTTCTTACAAGGCAGGGATGTGTTGTCTTCTGATTTCCAGGTATCACCATGCAAGAGGAACGTCAAATCACAGCCGACAACCAACCTTTGACGCAAGACCACGGTCTCCGTCCTCCCTCCGGTTCGCAGGCAGCGCAGACACCTGCTGTGTCAGCTCCCAGCTCTTCATTGCCGACCTCTGTTCTTGGTCAGCGTCCCGTTGCTGGGACGTTCGGTGGCTCTACGACGACAGCCCCTGCATGTTACCTTGCACCGGAGGGCATAACAGCCAACCCCACATCGGCACCTACACCGCTGCTCTTCTCATCCTTGTCGTCATCGGTTTTGCATGGGTACTTCGACCCCGTGGTGAAACAATGGGTGCCGTACACAACACAGGTTGTCTCCCCGTGGATGGGTGATCGTGTTATGGGCCCGCTGTCGGCCAGCATTCCTCCACAACATCTGGTCAATCTCCCACATTCACAGCCTTCTCCACACGTTCCTGCTACGCATGGGACTGACCAGCTTCCACGTCCCGTTGTTGCCCCAGACACAGTCCTTGCTGAGCAGCCTGGAACGAATGGCAAGCGCTCACCTGATGCAGAGCTTGAGCAGTTGGCATCAAGGGTTGCAAGGTTGGAGATGTACTTCGGAGCATCGTCATCGGTTTTGCACGGGTATTTAGACCCCGTGGTGAAACAATGGGTGCCGTACACAATGCAGGTTGTTGCACCTCCATGGATGTGTAGCGGCGTTTCCCCTCCCCCTGTGTCGTCGAGCATTCCTCCACAGCCTTCAGTCACGCTGCCACATTCACAGCCTTCTCCAGACGTTCCCGTGTCTCATGGCACTGAACAACTTCGACGTTCTGATATCGCTGCTGAAAGAGTCCCCACTGCGCAGCCTGGAACGACCAGCAGGCCCTCACATGATGCAGAGATTGAGGAGTTGATATCAAGGGTTGCAAGGTTGGAGGCATACTTTGCAGCTCTGCATCAGCAGTTCCCAGTGCATGGGGTGCGTTTACCTGTCAAAGAGGGTAACGGGCTGCCCAAGGCGAGACATTCAGAGCCCCCGCTTTCACCTGCGCAGTCGACGGTAGTCCGCCAGCCACACTCTCCTCCAGTGGAAAGGGCGGGGGACAATTCCGGCGCACAGTGCAGTGATGGACGATGTTACACTGACGCCGACCTTGCTCGCATGCAAGCGACTATCAGAATGATGCATGGGGGCTTGCAGCCTGTGAAGGACTCAGATGCAGGTGTTCCAGCTGGCTGCGCAGCTGGTGCCCACATTGTGGGAGCCCTGGCTTTACGCAAAGGCCAGCAGTTTCCTGACATGACTAGTCTACGGGACAGCCTCGTCCGGTATGCCGTGGCATGTAATTTTGAGTTTGAGACCATTCGGTCGAGCCAGACCCGATTCGCCGCATCCTGCTCATCCCCAGGTTGCACTTGGCACGTATCTGCACGTGCACCCAACGATCGTGTGGGTGCTCCAATAGTTGTGAACCTTGTGAGGCCCCACGACAAGGGTTGCAAGATGCATTTCAAGGACCGCAATCAGCATGCTGGTGCTAGGTGGGCATCCAAGATTATTGCAGAGGTGGTGCGCAACACTCCAGCAGTGAGTGTTGCACAGATCATCTCGGAGTTGGAGAGCGAATGCGGCCAGCTGTTGCCGTACGATGTGGCATATCGTGCTCGGGACATGGCTGTCACCCTCGTCAGTGCCGATAACGATGATGGGTACAGACACCTCCAGACTTACTGCAGACAGTTGCAGGATTGTAACCCGGGCACTGTTGCCTCTGTCGAGTGGGACGGGGCGTCTTCTTTTGTTAGATTTTTTTCCGCATTTGGCACATGTCTTAAGGGGTTCGTGCATTGTCGCCCCGTACTGGCGATTGGCACCGCACGCTTGACGGGCCGTACACCGCGTACCCTGCTCACAGCTACCGGGTATGATGCAATGGGAAGGCTGTACCCTGTGGCATTTGGGGTGGTTTCCACTGAGGACAAGTCCCACTGGACTTGGTTCCTAACGATGTTGAGCAATGCATTGCGCACAGTTGAGCGCATGCACCCTCGATTGGCGTTCATATCGGATAGACAACCGGGTATCCTCGCAGCGGTGGAGCACGTTTTTGGGGACGTGTTTCATGCTTCTTGCATGAGGCACATCCTAAATAGTATAAAGGGGGTGTATGACATTCCTGGTCTCGGAGGCTTAATGTGGAGGGCTGCTCGTGTGCCCAAACAGCACACGTTTGATGGTGTGGTGTCAGCGATGCAGGCTGCAGCAGGCTCTCGTGAGCCAGTGACACGCTTGTTCCAGCAGTTTCCCCCTGAGCACTGGGCATCTGCATGTGGTTTGGGCGGATGCCGCTTTGATGCGTTGTCGAACCATGTTGACTCCCTTATCGATGTGTTGGGGGATGCTCATGAGCTTCCACCTATGCACCTCTGTGAGGCTATTAGGGAGCGTTTGCAGCAGTGGTTCGACGAGCGGAGAGATGCAGCGGCTCGTTTCCAAGGTGTCGTCCCACCACGTGTGCAGCGGAGGTTGCTCGATCCTGTTATTCAGGCTGCACGTTTTTGGGTCCCCAAGAGCACTGCGGCTGGTAAATATGAGGTCAGAGGAGCTGACACCCCCACATCTGCAAGGGTAAGCAGACAGGTGGATCTTGATGCACGCACCTGTGATTGTGGGTGGTGGGCAGTGTTGCACCGGCCATGTCGGCATGCTGTTGCTGCAATGTCAGCAGAACAGCTAGAGGTGCACAAGTTCTTTCATCCGTGCTTTACTGTGTCAGCGTTGAGGGCGTCTTATGAGGGAGGGATATCCCCTGCCCCTCTGCCTGCAGAGTGGCAGAGCACAGTGACGGAGGAAGAGATCGGGCCATTTGAGGCTGTTCCCAAGGCAGGGCACCGAAAGAAGGCCCATAACATCACTCGGCACAAGGGACTCGGAGTGATTAAGCAGAGATGTGGCCTGTGCGGGACGTATGGTCACAAAAAGTCAACTTGTACTCATGCAGCTGACAAACAAGCTCGAGCTGCAGGCAAGGATAAGGACCTGGCGGCACCCTTGCAGACTCAGGCCGAGGGCAGGCAGGAGAGAGCGGAAGAGGGCACACTTGGCACGATAGATGACAGCACAGCTCGCGAGACACATCCCAGGGGGCGACCCCGCAAGCCACTCCCAGATGGTACGCCTCCTCCCAAACGACCCAGAGGGCGTCCCCGAAAGTCTGAAGGTCGTCCAGATCCACGACCTGGGACTGGAGCTGATGACAGCAAGCCCGCAGTGTACATGCCTCCCGATGAGGATGAAGGGCATGAGGATTCTCATTCCAAAGAGGAGGGTGGAGTGGATGATATCATCGACTTAGACATTCGCATACGTCATGTTCCCGTCGATGCTGACGGAGATGAGCAGCATGGCAGAGCAAGGCCGTCGGATACAGCCATACGTGCTAGACATGTTACAGATGATGTCTCACAGGGGAATGGCTCCACGCATGACACCAGGCCGCAAGCAGGAGAGGTACTCCTTCCCATTCTCAAGGGGAGGGGGGATGAGGCACTGCCCAGGAGTGCATGTGTTGAAGAGGCAACGGCCCAACTAGGAGGAAACAGAGTTGCAGGTGTCATATGCAGTATATGACATGATGAAGAGGCACGCAAAGCGCACAGGAGAGGGAGCCGGCGTGGACACAGGTCTAGAGACCATGTTGGCAATGGTGGTTCTGTTATGTATAGATGTAATGCTGACATTGCCACCAGCATTCGTAGTGAGAGTTACGCAGACACTGCTTGGGATTTGCACAGCGATGACAATTTTGCACACATCGGTAGCATACAGCGTGCCGGGCATGCATAGTAGGGAGGTAGAGGTTGCAGTTTTAGTTGTACTTATTCTCACTGCACACGTTGGTAGCACATATCTGGGTAGATACTAGACATTGCAGGAAGACAGAGACAGTCAGGAGGTGGAGATTTCCAGATCTGGTAGGTGTTTTTTTTCTTTTCTTTTTCTGGCGATCATTATGTGCATTCGACCCCAAGTAGGCTCAGCCACTGTGATTTGCTAGGTTGGAGGATTCCATGGTTGTGCATATTTGATATATCATGATGAATTCATGTGTTTGACAAGTCACAAACTTGTGTCTTTCCCACCCATGCATATACCCCCGGTGTCCCCCCCCCCCCCCCCGGTTCCGTGGCAGCCTTTTTTTTTAATGTTTTCCTTCTGCCTTTTTCTAGTCCTTTTTGTCTGCGTTCTTTCTGTGTTATCTGACCAGAGCAAGTACAGAATAGCAGTGCACGAGCACTTCTTGTGCTCGTGAGTTTGTGACACTTCACATACTCTTCAGTAAAGTGCATCCATGCTCATTCAAGCTCTCATGGTTATCAAAATTTATATTTAGTATTATTTACCCTTTTATGCCCATTGAGCATTTCGAAAACCTCAAGCACAAACTAGAAGCCTTTTTAAGACAGGACCTGCATGGAATACATATTTGACATAGTGAGAAACACACATCAAATGCCATGCATAAGCTGAACCATAAAACTTAAAGAACAAAAGACTATCGTTTTCCTTGTAATGAATCCATCACTCAGAAGCTCGCAGCATCAACACCATGCTTGTATATCATGATGCTCAATGAATGCCACAAACCAAGAGATGGCAAGTCGACAAGAGTTTAGACTAAGGAAGAGAAGAACAAGAGGAGGAGGAGGAGGATTGTTTCCAGTAGTAATCAATGAATACAGAGTCTCAGTGTCTCAGTGTCTCATCTTCCCCTTTCTTCTTTCAGGTTCTTTCTTCCTCGTCTCGCCACCTCACAGTCGACGACACCTATCCCTCTACCGATGAGGAAGCCGGTATGTCACTCTCCAGCGCCTCGCCAAAAAAATTGGCAAAGTGGTTCTCCCATGCAAAACAATGGGGGCACTGAACAGGGACTGAAGAATAGGTTTTCAATTTACAAACATCAGTACTCTGAGGGTCTAGGGGGCGCTGTGCCGCCACGCACCATGCTGCCCGGCTCGGTGAATCGTCTCTTGGCCGCACGTTGCGCTGGGTTGTGGCGTGCTGCCTTGTCGACGCGACTAGCAAGCTATGGCGAAATAGAGTTCTAGTGCGGCTGCATGCTGTCGGGCCGTCGTGTACCGTCTATGGTGTTTGGCTTATGTGCTTTATGTGCACCATCTCCAGCGCCATCCCTCACGCTATCTCCAGCGCCAGTATTCGGGCAAGCCTGGTGGACGCTGTCTGCTGTCGTAAACTCTGCAACGCATGAGCTGTTGGTCAGACAGTGATGGAGTGCTAAGCTGTGTTGATTCCATGGTGGGTATCTTCTTCCTGCTTGCTGCGCATGGCACTGGGCGGTTTTGTTTTTTTGCACTGGCGGGAGCAGCGCTGGATGGCAGTGGCGTCGGCGCAGTGCCAGAGTGTTTTGCCAGCCTTGTCAAAGTCTGTAATGCTAGCTCCGGCTCTGCGCTTCGTCGAATGGTGCTGCAGGCTGGCACGTTGGACGGAGGGGAGACTGCCTTTGGGAGGAGGTAGATCTTCATGAGAAACTGGGTGTATCTGTGGTCCTTGCTTCTCTGCTGTCATTGTATCGTGGAGGTTGGTCGGGTGACGAGGGCTGAAAAGGAAGAGCGCGTCCTCGCCTGGAGTGGGAGGTCTGTTGGAACGACATCGAGCTGGTGTTTCTTGAAGAAAGGTCCAAGTTATGATCGACAGCGCCTCGACTTCGTCACAAGGGGGGGTGGTAGTTTGACTGATTCTTCACGTCACTTCATGTCACTTTACTTCGACAAGCTAGAGGTGCTGTTTCGTGTTTTCATCATCTTGCTGCCATCATGGCCGAGTTCTCTCATTTGCTATATGTTGCTTTCACAACTGAGTTCTGTTTTACCTGTAGTGAGTAGGTTGTAAGTTTTGTCTTTCTGGTGATCCGTCGTGCCTTTCGTAGGTTTCTTGATACAGGTTGAATTTGAGCCGTGCGACAGCTGGCACTGCTTTATCGCCTTTTCACCTTACGCTGTTCTATCGGAGCTTTGCTGAACTTGGGATGCATTCTGTTGTTGGCACCCCTCTATAGCGGCCTCAAGGTTTGTAGAGGCACTGGGGATTAATGTGTGTTTGTTGTAGTGGGGGTGAGCTCCTTTTGCACGACTTATAGTCTGATTGGTAGATAGTTTGTTGTGGGCCGTACCCCCCTTGCTCAGTTATAGCACCCCCATGACAGACAGAGGCGCTGCTGATTGACATGCATCTGCAGTGGGGGGGGTGGGGCGAGTTTCTTTCCCCACGTGGGTTGGTCCGTCTTCCTTCTGTCCACGCGGTTCAGTTTCATTTCTAAAGGCTTCATGTACGTTCTGGGGAGCATCAGTCCGGTTCCTATTCCACCGGCAAGTCAAAAGTACAGCCAGAACACCCTCATGCTTCCTTCCATTTGGCCGAAAGGACCCCTGACCAGCATTGATTACTCTCAGAAATCTGGAGGATGTTTATAGATTCATACGTGACTAAATAACCAACTTATCTGCACGGTTCCTTTTGCTTGCCGATTTGATCTTTCAGAGACTTTCACGTTTTGGTTGTTCAATTCTCAAAAGATCCTGGATCTTTCTATCCTCTTTTTTTTTTTTTTTTTTTTTTTTTTAATAATAAAACAGGTCCTTATGGCCCTGGCTTCTTTTCCATTTTGGGGAGCGTCAGCCCGGTTCCTCTTCCCCTGGCAAGTAGAGTACACGCTCATGCTTCCTTCCGTACGGCCCAAGGATCCCTGACCAGCATTGATTACTCCCATGTAGGAGGATTGACTGTCAGCTTGCCCTACCCACTTGTTCCTCTCAGGCTCCACCCTGGGTTTGAGTTTGAAAATGCTTCTTTGACATTTTCAAATAGACATCTGGTAAACAAGAAAGAGAAAACTACGGCGCAGTCAGGGTTTGAGTTTGAAAATGCACACTTGACGCAAAAAAGGCCTGGTAATGGTGAATGCATATAACCTAGGTTTCGGGTCCGGTGGGGTCTGGTGGGGTCCGGTGGGGGTGTGTTGTGTTCGCGGGATTGCCTGAAATGGATTTTCAAATTTCAAACTGTTTTCGTGACTGCGCCGAAGTTACCCCAACAAGGAAAGTGAGAGGTTCAGCTTCCATTTGTCCTCGTATGTCTTCCTGCCCCTGTTCATCACACTGCTCGTTTTCGTGCTCGTCGTACTGTTCCTCCTTCACGGACTTCATGGCATTCTGTTTTCTTGCGGCTAAGTCTGATGCCACTTCTTCCACATCAGCCTGTTGTCCGGTATTGTGGCAACCTTGCCCTTTTACAACCAGTCCCTCAGGAATACCCCTCTTTTGACTGCGTGCTTTTCTCGTCTGCGCGTCATGGGTGAAGATGTCTTTCGTCATCTGCTTCGAATTTCGGTCTCCGCCATGCTTAGCAGAAGAGTCCACATTTCCGCCCTTGCCACCTCTGCTCCCTCGATTGTCCGTGTGCATCTGCGTTTCCATATGACCCAGAGTGCCAGGTTTTTTTTTTTTTTTTTTTTTT